CTTGTCATGGTTGTTGTAAATGGTTAGCTAGACAGCTGCTGCTGCTGCCCAGACGATCCGCTCGGGAAACTTCCGGTGTGGCGTCACTAAGACCGCCATCTACCAATCAGCACCTTCTTTCCGACCACATTACATCCGTGCTGGGGATTTGTTTTGCTGATGCTGGATGTCAGATTTTGCTGAAAAAAAAATCCCACCGTTTCTTCTTACTAGACATAATTTTGGACATGATCGAATTATTATCTACAGAGGAGACGAAGAAGCGTTATTAAACAGCGTCATAGCTTATTGGTTATCGCTCCTCATTATTTATCTAGCAACACCGAGAGCAGACGGCGCTAGCTAGCAGGCTAACAAAGCTGGCATTTACAGTGAAACACTTAGCTTGCATGTCCAGCGCGTAATTCGGTAGTTTCAAAACATTATATTTAAAGGTTGCTATTGTGAGTTTAAGAGTTAAAACATGGGTTAGCTAGAGTTAGCTATTTTCCGTCTATGTCCTATATTTGCATTTTTACCACCAACTGAGCTAGCTTTACATTATTTACAGTTAGCCTTTTCATATTCCTGAAAATTGAAGACAGCCAGAGAACTGCTATCCGTGGAGGTTTGATGTGTTGGGCTGTCACTTGCATTTCCCCAAAGCAAGCCATGCTATGATGGTGCTACGGCGGCTACTGAGAAAGCGCTGGGTGCTGGGAGTTGTCTTTGGACTCTCCCTCATCTACTTTCTGACCAGCACACTCAAACAGGTACAGAAACTCACACTGAGATAAGTCGATTACAGAAAAAAACATGCAAGAGGAAAAAAAGATCTAGTCACTTTCTTTTTTCTTTGCTTTGTAAAAACAAAAAAACACACTACATGCCAATTCTAAGTAGGAAACCAAACATACACGCATTAGTAGGGAGCTGTATATCCAAGCTTCTACCTTGTCCAAATAACTATTCTTCTGAATAATCACAATTTGTGGCATTATTTTTTGAAAGTGTAGCTGGGTCTAATATTACAGACCTTTACCAGCATCTAAACAATAATTTCTGCCCACTTTTTTGACAGATTTCTAAATGAAAATGTTTGTGCTTTCTGTTTTGTGTGTGTATGTGTTCCTCAAGCTTGGGTCCTCTACCAGCAGCCCGAGAATGTGAGGGCTCTGATCTTAGCTGTTCCTATGACTGCACTCTTCTGGACAGGCCTCTGATGGTCAGCCTGCAGTCTGCTGGAGCCACTATTCAATTTTGGGGTTTACAGCTCGTATCACTGGGGCCACTTGACTTTTCCTTCCACGTCTGCTTCAGTTGTTCCTTCAGCTTCTCAGTTTTCTCATGCTTTCTTTTTGAAGTTGTTGTCCCATGGGATAGAGACATTTGCAGTCTCCTGCTTTTTGTCAGCCACCACTTTCTGTGTGGCTGGCCATCAGCTTCTTCTCTATCCTGAAAGTCCCACAGGGTCTTAGCCCTGCAGTTTTCAGCCAGCAGGTATTAGTAGACTTCTAAAACACATGCGCATAGATATTCTCGTACACTATCCCAGCCACTTGATAGGTCCTCTCAATGTATGTTGTCCCTTCTTGCATCTTAGATTCTGCCGCAGTGTGCTGGATAGTTCTAGGAAGCCTTTGCACAGTCTGCAGCTTGGCTTCTGTCAGCTGTGGTAGACCCCTGCCTCTATGGATCTGGTGCTTAGAGCCTATTCTTGTGATGCCATGAGCTGCCTCTGTGCTGTCCTTTAAGTCTCTAGCCACTGGTAGGATTTCTTGATGCCAGCCACTTCCTCCATCTGTTGATGGTACACCCCATTTAGGGGCTTGGTCTTGTATGATAGCTCCTCTTGTTCCTCATCACCAGCTGCCTTCAGCCAGCTGAAGACCTCATAGAGCAGCTTAACTTGGGGGCTCTCTGTCCGATGCATTAACGGAGGCTCCACGTTTCTTCCTGGATTGTGGCTCTGACACTCATTAATCCTCTTTATTCCTCTCTCTGTTGCTCATAGAGCCTCAGGGTGATGGCCTTTGGGTGGAGAACTCATCAGTGGCACCTGTGGCCCTCTCATTATTATTATTATTATTATTATTATTATTATCCGATGACTACCATTGAGCTGACCGTTCTGCCTCCTGGCAGCTCCACCTCTTCAGTCCAGATCACCTTTACTTTCTTTCTAACCATTCAGCCACACACTCACTCAGTCTGAATGACACCTTAATGTCTAGAGTCTCGGATTACTGCTGCACCAGTAGCTGGTGCTTTGACCCAGCTACTGGTCAACGTACCCGTTATTTCCAATGCTGTGCTCATGTGCGGACTCATGTGCCTATTCAGTTTGGTTACGGTGATGCTGCGCAGGATCTTTGCTTTTCCTTGAACTGCACTTTTCTGGACAAAGATGTCGGTTTTCATTCCTGGAATCTGCTTTTTCACTGCCCAGAGTGTTCAGATCATCAAAGTGACCACTGTTCCCCTCTCCTTGTACATCTTCTCTGGCTCTTCTCTCAGCCCTTGGTATTTCTCAAGCTTCTCGTGTTTCTTCATCCTGATGTTGCTATTGCTTGGTATTGCTACTGCTGGGTATTGCTACATCGATCACTATGGCCTTCTTACTCTACTTGTCTTCTACATTGTTGAAACAGTGGCTATAGTTTCTCAAAACATTACTGTTATTGACAGATATTATCTGTCAGAATAATAATATAGTGAATTTAGAATAGGGTTATATGCACAACCATATTCTGAAATTTATGTTGCTCTTCATTAGCTTTCCATGACCCGTTTCTTGTATGTGTGCATTTTTCAGGAGGAGCGGACCATACGAGACCGAACACTCTTAGAAGTTAGAGATTCAGATCATCGCATCCCCTGGAAAGTCCGCTTTAACCTGGGGAACAGCAGCCGACAGATCACTCAGTGTAGAAATTCCATCCAGGGCAAGACACTGCTTACAGACGAACTTGGTGAGTAATAAATCTATTACTCACCACCATACAGTGATAACACATCGGATGTAGCCTGTAACCAGTTCTTATCATAATCTGCATTAATGTTTTACAGGATATGTCTGTGAGAGAAAAGACTTGCTCGTTAATGGCTGCTGTAACGTCAATGCTCCCAGCACCAGACAGTACATATGTAAAAGTTGCCTGGCCAATGGATGCTGTAGCATCTATGAGTATTGCGTGTCATGCTGTCTCCAGCCCGATAAGGTAATCTGTCACATCAAGGGCCTTCAGGATCATCGCGTTTAACTTTCATCGGAAAAGGCATATCTGCCCACATGCTGTGCACCTTTGCATGCACACATTTGAAACCAAAGATATCATTTAAAATTGCATATTGAGTTTGCATTTTAAGCAAAGCAGTGCATGCAATGGGAACAGATAATAAATCTAAGTGATTATAAATCTATACATGCTTTTGTACATGTTCAATTTCTTTTCTTTCTATTTTTGTTTAGCAACTTCTTCTTGAGCGCTTCCTGAATCGTGCAGCTGAAGGTTTCCAGAATCTTTTCACTGCTGTCGAGGATCATTTTGAGTTGTGTCTGGCCAAGTGTAGGACATCTTCACAAGTATGTTAAGTTAAACAGAAGAAACAAACATGAATTGTTAGATTTTCCAAACCAGTTTTAAAGTGTTGACCCATACAAATCATAATAACAATAACTGTAATCATTTGGAAACAAAGGAATAGTGAAATTAGTAGTCTGGCGGATATGCAGCAACACTTACCCTTATCTCTTGACATTCAAAGTCGATATTTTGCTCATACATTTATCTGTATATTTTTCAGACAGTTGTTGACAAAAGATACGCTTTTATTTGAACTTGATGCATCACTATGACACATAATGATTTTCTCATGAATTTCCTGAGACAGTTGGTTCATTTAGAAATTTGAAAAACTCCCCAAAATAAAAATAAATAAAAAACAGAAACAAAACTGATTCTCGGCTAATCTCATTGTAAATCACTGAATCTGCACAAGCTTTGAATATTTTCAGTACTGTGAAAGTACCGGTATTGAGAAGAGCAATATAAGTGCTTTGTGAAAAAACTTTTTCGTTTGTCTCATTTCTATTTTTCCCCTTCTCCAGAGCGTTCAACATGAAAACACGTACCGAAACCCTCAAGCAAAGTACTGCTATGGTGAGAGTCCTCCAGAACTTCTGCCTGTATGAGCCTATTTGACTTGCTTCTGGTGTTTAGTAATCGAAGAGCAATGGAATAGCAATTGACAAATAAGGGTGTTTGTTGAAGAGATGGTGCATATGAAATGCTTGGACAATTTTGCAATATTGTGGCAAAGAGATGAAGGAATGCAAGACCAACCTCAAAAAGGACAAAATGCTGTATGCTTTTTTTTTTTTCTTTTTTTAAATTATTTACACTTCATAAGTGCATAATACGCTTTATCCGTTCATCCGTGATGATCATCAGGTCTACTTAGCAGGCAGCTCATCCATCAACATTTGCTTCAAACAAGTCATAAAGTCATGTCATGAAATCAAACGAACCTTTCTGTTTTGTTCTGAACATTTTAAAATGGCAAAGAATGTGTCCTAACCTCTGTGTATAGTGCATGCAGATGAAATGCTTATTTAATAAAAGGGACTGTGAAACTGAATGAGTTTCTGCTTTTTTCTCTCTGAATGGTGACATGTAGATTTTGTAGTAGTGTGGTTTAAATGGCAGTTTAACTCTCTAGCAGGTTTTATTTAACTGAAATAACAGTGGTAGATAGCAATGTCATGCATTCAAATTTTATTAAGCTTGTGGGTCTAAAGCACCAGGAAGAAAATCAAACAAGACATCATTTTGAAATAACAGCTTTTTTTTTATTTATTTATTTTTTTAAAAATTAATAGTTATGGTGAATAAATATAAGTTCCACAGAAAAGAAAGATAATGCAAGGAATTTCAGGATAAATAACAGTAAAAAAAATCAAAATTTGATTAAAAGTTCTTGAAAATATAGAAACATTTAATATAACTTGATTGTTTTTTATGTGGAGTCCAAACTAATAGCTCTCTGTAAGTTATTGCTATCTGTTTCTTTCTACCTCAGGCAATGTAGCCCCCACACATGGGATAGTTGGTCAGAGCAAAACAATTAATCAATGTGAAGGCTGAGGAAAACAAACTGTCATAATTAGGAGATGTATTAGAGCCATTTCTCATTTTCCTGGTTGGCAAGTTGATTAATTACTGCCACAAGGGAACATGTTGATTGCTTTGAGCTATCAGGTTTGGAACAAAGACATTTCCGATAACGCTTTTATGGTAGCAACATGACGTTTTGGTAAACGGAGATATTTGCTTTATTAGAATTTGTTGAGATGGTTGTTATCATTCACACCTGTGATATCAAATGTGAAGCGTCAAATAGCAGCCAGCTAGAAAAAGATCCAGCTGTTAGCGCAGCAGTACTGGGGTTTACATTTGTTAAGAGGTGCCGATTGGTGGATTTGGGTGATAGCAGACAAAAGCAGCGATTTTCACCTTTTTTTTGTCTGTCAGGTTTAAGCTTGGATAATTGCTTCCCCAGTTGTGCCTTACTTATGTTGTCGATTAGACATTTGCATGTACTTTCTCATTTAAAATAATAAGAACAGCTCAATTTTCCAAAATATCAAAGTACACCCTTCATAAATTTTATTTTAAAAAAAACCTCTTTGGCTGTTTTAACCATGTCGGTTGTTATGTTTGTACTGAAATATCAGATATATTATAGAGAGAGACACTGTAAAGATCCTTAATGCATAACAGCATACTGAATGCATGAAAAAGTAGCATTTAAAAGTCTTGGACGGGGGTGGGGGGGCTAAAGAAAAGCTGCCACAAACTATAACCGCATTTTCACCACAAACTCAGCTAAACTTGTTCATAATCAGAGCAGGTATCCACTCCCCTCCAGGTACTTATGAGGCTGGGTCTTTGTTACTTTACCTTTCCCCATTTTTGTTCCTTTAACATATGAAACAAACATTTGCTCCAGCCATACCAGGTAATCCCCGGCTGCCTTTAGCAGGGTATGACTCCACTGTTTCCTCTCAAATACTTGTTTAGGCATTTTAGGTGGTGATGGCTTTGAGGGACATGTACTTTTAAAGATGATGTTTATACAATTTGCAAGCATTTTAATCCTGGCAATGGTTTCCTCTAGCTTCTTGTGAAGTGAAACGTTTTGAGGATTCAGGTTGTTTTTCTGGTCCTCCAAGATGTCATTTAGACCTTCATACATGAAGCGCAAGCTGCAATGAACTTTTGTCCAATTAGGAGGAAAGCTCTTCTGGACGTGGAGCTCAGGGAAGCCAGGTAACCAAATACCAAGGTGTTTTCCATTGGCTTCATCCTAAAAAAAAAGACAAGAGTGAGGCGAGGAGATTTTGAAGACGTGTGTTGCTCATCCCATGAATACGCAGCTAATCTCTTAAACTGCCTCTGAAAGGTCATGCAAAGCATCTCAGCATGAATCTATACCACAGCAAAAGAAGAAACTTAACACTAGATTTAATCAAACGATGTGTTTTTAAACCCATTATATACACAAAAAATCTGTGTCTCCTGAGATTGTTCAGGCAATAGAAATAACAACTTTTTCTGTCCTCACAAAAATATTCCTCCAATCCCCCACAAGGACATGTCTTGTTTATTTTGTAAGAACCAGAAAAAAATACCCAGTTAGTTTAGTTAGTTAGTTTTCTGGCTGATGCGCTTTCATAGATAAAACTTGTTTAATCTACACCTGAGATGTAATTCTGTTAAAAAAAAAAAAAGCAGACATCTTAATAGCAACAAAGTGCAATTTAACTGAAACTGTTTCAAAGAATGACTACAGAATTGCTATGGTACTGGCACTAAAAGTGTCTTAATCTGGAGTAACACACTCTAGAAATGAAGGCTGTGACACAGCACTACTCAGCAGAGCTTTGGGAGCTGCACTGTTTTTGCGAAATTTAAGTGATAGAAAAATTCAGACTACCTCCCCACAGCTATTGCGTCATCCAAGCACGCTGGCAGATTGCAAATAGCGTCACAAAACCACTTCTCTGGGTTGCACTGGTGAGAAAATGAATAGTTTTAAAGTTACTTACAAAGCATCTCAAGCTTTCATTGACCAAGCTTTCGGTCAGGGCTGTCAGGTGTTTGGGACTGCACGATGCACCTGCAGCATGTTTCTTTGGTGCAAGTTGTGCATCCAAGCCGTGCATCAGAATCGCCATCCAGATACAAGCCAGTTTCAGAAAACCTGTAAACCAAGTGTACAATCACAACATTTTAAGTTTGGTGTACTTTCTCATACAAACTACTTCACATTGTTGCATGGTATACTGTACCTGCTCTATATTCTCCCATTGTAATTCTCCTCATAGTTTACTGTGACAAGGGCAGTAGGTGTGTGAAATATAATTTTGCCCTATCGCTTACTTAACCATATCCTCTGATGAAGAAAGTCAACCACTGAACCAATCAATTCAGTTTCTTCTGGCAGGTCACCACCTCTTCCACCAAAGGAAATTACTGATGATGATGATAAGTATTCTCTAGACTCTAGAACAGTTAGATTATAGAGTTGAAAACTAAAAAAAAGAGAAAAAAAAAGAAAAGAAAAACTGATATTAAAAGATAAATGGGTTAGTTTCTCTGCAAAAATTTAAAAAAGGAGACTAAGAAACTAGGTTGTAGATAGCAAGGGTATATTTTAAAAACTGGCTGCTATTTGTCTTATATGAGCTACATAACATAAGTGAAATTGTAGTTTGTGTAAGTGTGAAATGCATGATTATTTCTTAGTTTTTAAATGAGCTTTCTTTAGCTTACGTAAGTAGTTTAGCAAGAATTCTGTGATGACATATGTACTCTATGAAATATTCTATAAATGAGTCATGCAGTACTGCGTAGATGCAGCTAACCACAGCCCAACAGTTTTGACTAGTTTCATGTCCTGAGTAAAATTTTAACTCAACCCTGTTGGTTGATCTCACAAGCAAATCAGAGGGAGAAGAATTTGAAATGCAGCTCAATTCAAAACGCTGAAGTTGGATTAAAAGTAAAATTTTTGTATTTACAAAACACAAACGACTCTTTCCCAGCGTAAGTTAAAACAAAACAAAACAACGAGCTGATGAATCTGAATTTAATGTAGGTCGTAAGGTTTAGTTAAAGACTTTACAGAGGTGAGGTCATTGCTGCACTTTATATAAACCGCAGACACCTGCCTCTTGTATACAAAGCAGTTGCCATTTTCAAGAGATAAATATATAATAAAAACACTAAATAAGTTAAAAAAAAGAACTGGCTGGAAAATAAATAAATAAATAGGTTACAGAAAATTAAGCTTCAAACAGAAAAACAAAACAAAACTAAAACTTGCAAGTTATGTAATACTCTCCACATACAGTATGCATTTCAGAAACATACAGAAACATCATATTTCAGTTGAATGCATCAATTCACATAAACAATTTTCTGTTGGTATTACATAATCTCTGGGTACACATGCACAACCCACAATTTCAGTAGAAGGTTGATTATTGCAGAAAAACTTTACACAATTTGACAAGTTCCTCTGTTTTAAGAGCACACTGGTTTTACTCATCACTGATCAGAAGATTACCTTAAACAGGATGTGATAATAAATACACACACACCAGCACAGCACATATGCACACTCGAATAATATTAAGTAACAAATAAATGACAAATTAATGAATGAACCTTTCTGAAACACTGGAACAATTAAATAATAAAACATTTTAAGATATTGTTAACACTGCGACTGGTATTATATTAACCATAACAAAATAAATAAATATTCTCAAATATAAATAATTTTGCAAATTTAGGCTACATCATATTCATATTCAAAGAAATAGATAAATAAAAACAAGGTACCAGTAAATAATTAATATATGGCCAAAGAGACCATTCTGAAATGCACAACTTTGAATTCCCTGTCAAAACATCATCAAGGGTTAAAAAGGAAACCTTAACCGTGACAGGAATAGCAGAGAGGTGGTGGATCCCAGATAACAGAGATATTTTCTCAGTCTTATCTGTTTTTAGTGACAGAGTGTCTGATTAACTACCGTCAGCACTTGTTTGGACCATTCCGTCAGTCTGACCGCAACACTCCATACATAAATTTTTTGTTTGTGGTGATCGGTTAACTCTCGGGGTGGGGTTGGGGGAGTGAAATCGAATGGTCCGAGCATAGCCTTTATCATAATGTTTAAATTTTCTAGTGTTTTTTCAACGTGCTCTGTTTTATTAAAAATTTCAACTGGGTACCTCAAAAGTTGTTGGTGATATTCTTTGGCTTGTAAAACGTGTAACTTAAAAAGCTCATTCTTGATATAGATGTTCTGCAGCTTCTCACAAGTGCTTTCACCAGATATCTGGGTGTCAGGAACTTCATGTCGTATTGTCTCATTCCTTTTTCCATATTTTTTTATCTGTAGGTAAAAAAAAACAGGTAGAATTCACCATAAAACTTGTAAAATTCTTATTCTCTATTCAAATAAGAACAGAACCACTTGATGCTTCAGCCTTGCACTGAGTTTTGTGACACGTTCATACAAGTAATAAGAACAGTCATGAGTGAATAAATGTAACTAAATACACTTTGGAAAAAATAATGTGCCGTGTACGTCGTCAACTTGTCTATTTTTGTGCTCACAAACAGCAGATTCAAAGAGATATGACGGATTCATGTCATTCAGCATTACTAATTTAAGATTTATATTTATATACTTCCATAAGTTGCAACCCCAGCAGGTTCTTGCACTAGTAGTTTAGATTAAAAGGACACAAGTAAGACACTAGGCATTTACACTGAGGGGCCTTTGAGAGTACCGTTATGTATTGGCTACTTAAGCTCTTACTGACTACATCTGTTCATGCAAACATCCACTATACATCAGTGAGCATTTTAAACATTTTCGACAGACGCGTTTTAAATATTACATGAAGTAAACTCTAGAGTTTAAAACCATTTTAAACAGGCTTTCTCTGAGGACAGACATGAGGTGAAATGTCATAAAATCAAGACTAAACTCTGGAAGATGATCGAGATTAAATATGACATATAAGATTTGGATCAATTTTGCAGCAGTTAGGTAAAGTCTACAGAATGTCCTGTGTATAGTTACAGCAATCATGCAAAGAGTATATGACAGCAGATTAACTAGATGGTACTTACAGATAAATTCAGTAGCTTAGTTGCTTCGAATTCGAATAACTTGGCAAGGTCATTGGTTCTCTTCAAATGATCACAGGAGTTATTAGATGGACAAATCGGAGCAGAAAACACAGGACTCCACTGAACTTCCAGGAAGATCAAGAGGATTGCTGAAGAAAAACAAAAACAAATGGAATTGGACAATGTTCTCTTAAACAAGAAATTGTAAAATTACCAAAATAATGCAACCAGATTAAACGAGTAGTATATGAGGCTTCCTGATGTAACGATGAAACTATGTAGTATCAGTTGTATTTGTTGATCAAATGGCCTAACCATGTCAAATTTGTGTTTGTTAAATAATAATAAAAATATATATTTACCATAGTGCAGGAGAGATCTATTGAGTTTAGAACCCATAGTAGCAGTACTAACTCTTATCCTCAGTGGTCCGTGATAAACCATACAAAACAGCAACATGCAACTTTGCTTTGGTAGGCCGGCTTAAATTGCATTTTAGGTACACCCACATTCACCTCATACAAAGGAATTCCATGACAATTTTTTTTTTAACATCACTCACATTATGACATATTATTGGATCATATGATTTCATAAGAGGTGTGACCATGGTCAGATAGACCTCAGATAACTAAAATCCTCAAAATATATCAGAGCATGAAAAACATTCCATCTGCATGCGATGTGGCTTGCATTATATAGGCCAGGTTTTTAAACAGAAGTTGGATAACATGGATAACGCTCAACAATAAACCATTTGAAAGTTAACACAGGAAAAAGAAAATCCCATTTAATTAAAATAATATATTAAAACTTTGACAAAGACTCATTAGTACCCACTTCTGTTTAAAGGGGACACAAGTCAGAAAGGTAGGGAAATATTGTGTAAATAGGTTTGATAAAAATTTTTTTTAAATTTATGTCTTATTAAGGACATTAACTGCATCCAGTATATGTCAAGTAAAAAGAAAATCGTATTTGTCTCTTATGTTTTTCCGATATTGCCTGCCCATCATGGTTTTATGTAACTTCCAACCACAAATTTCCCTTTATGACTGAAGCTTTAAGATGTCACGCAGACGCCAACCTGTCAGACAAGAATAGACTTAGCCTGCTTTCGCAGAAAAGCATGGTGCTGTGTTTGCGGCTATGTTGCTGCTGGTGTTGCTTAATAAAATCTCTTACAGAGAAAAAGAAAAACCTTAAAGAAGAGGTGGAGAAGAAGCTCAAAAGCTGTCTTAAGCAAAATTGTTACGTTTCTTTTGTCGCATTTTCTTCAACTTTTCTTACAAAAACAGTAAAGTAGGTGTATAGTTCAGTCAGTGATTAACAAAAATGATCAGAGCAAACCTGCAACAGACTCTCTCTCTCTTTCTTTTTTTTTTTACCCTTTTGCTTGGAGATCTACAGATCAGCCTTCTTTTATTTCTTAAGGATCCATTCTGGGACCTCCACTTTGTCTTTTAAATGTCACCTTTGGACAACAATCAGTTTAATAAATATTATTGTTTATTCAAATACGCACAAGCTATGCTTTGGTTTCATCTTTGGAATTTAAACTCAGCGATGAGCATTTAAACACCAAATTCCTGCAGGTAAACAGTCAGGATTTTTGCCCAATAGCCTGTTCAATGTTGATTTGGGTTGAACTTAAGAAAATCTTCAACAAATGTGCTTAATAGGTAATTGCTCCTGTTACAGCCACAACAGGAATATCACTGATCTGAGCCCTACTGCACCTCCAGCTGGGAAGAACTTTTTAGTGTGTTGGTTTAGGTTTGTTAATACTCTTAAAATGAAAACCAAAAGAACACCACATTTCGCCTCTCAGCTGTCTCAACTGTTTCTTCAAAAAGAAACCCCCCTCCCATAAATAACTATTATCAAAGCTACTTAATACAGGCCCAGTTGCATCATGTAGGACAAATGACAGCAACATTTGTCGTCAGTACTTGTTGGAATGACTTACACCAAAGTCAACATGGAACTTATTTTGAAGAACTTTTATTAACTGAAGCAGCACAAAAAGAATTTTACTTCAAATTGTATAAAATGCATTTGTACCACTGAAAAACGTTCTAAGTGATAATAGCTAGATACAAAGTTTATTGTGCAAAAAAAACAAAAAAACAAAAAATAAGACATAGTGTTATTGACCTCAGGTTAAGAAATGCTGACCCATTATTTATTTATTTAAAAAAGGAGAAATGGTCGCCCCCAACAGAGATTGTGGTAGTTTTGACACAAGAATCAACATATTTCTTCTCAAACCAGAACAAGTGAGCTCTGTTGTCAAAACCAAAATTTTTTTGCATGATAATTACAAACGATTGTTTGTCACCGCGTTGCGTTTCAAGCTACACACTTCCAGTTGAACACAAATGAAAACAGCAATACTTGCAAATGGTCTTTAAATGAAAAAAGAAGAAAAAAAAAATTCCCTCACAAACAAAACAACTGCTGCTTTGACATGATATTATAATATAACACCACACTGGAAGACTAAGATGTGTGTTGAGTGTATTCTGGTCTATGCTGCAAAACAATTCATCTTCTGACCATACATGTCTATTATACACGCTCAAGCCCAACTTTCAGCTTGTGAAACTGAATGCTAAAGTGTGGTTGTGTCCGTTTTCAAGTGTTTGTGTACTGTGATGTGCATTTGTCAGCTTGAGGACCCCCTAAGGCTCATCCTGTGCATCCTGCCTCGACAGGTATAACAGGAGGCCTCGCATACAAACTGTGTGCACGCACCACAGAAAAGCGCTTGCGGTATTCATGGCAAATTTGTAGTAGTTAATACTTCTGGCAATGCAGTCTTAATCTAGGCACAGAGTTAGTCTCCTTCTCTGCTGGCCTGACACCTCTAGCTGTTAGAACTGGAGCTAGAGGACATAAAGAGCCAAGATCATCAAGAACTATCAGTCCTTCAGAAATCAGCTGGTGGCTGGTTCGTTCCTCTGGTGCTGAAGCATGTCTGTCACACTGACTATGTCCTCTTCAGGGACCTAGAAAAAAAAATTTAAATACGTATTATTACATTTATTGCTTGGCAACTTAAAGAACAGCTTTATTGTGTTATAATCTTATAAAGCTGACATGATGGAAATACTGTGATTGCTTCTGTTATCTCATTTAAAAAAAAAAAAAATCTGGACTCACTTTGTACAGTGTTTTCTGGTGGGCAGGTAGTGTAACAACTGTTTTATTACAGTTAAATTAGCCTAATATGGATGCAGACAAGGTTAATCACAGTGCTGAGAATCAACCAAAACAGTAAAGTTACAGTTCCTAATACCAAAACATTGAGCTTACACAATGATTAACTTCCATGAAATCAATTGACATTTACTGGCCCATCTACTTTAGTTAAAGATAAAATGACTGTGATAAATTCACTGAAAGGTGCTGACCTACCACCATCTCATATGCACATGTTCTTTCACACGGACTACTGACGTACAGTGCTTTGAAAACACCCCTCTGATTAATTGTTTTTGGATATTTGTCACACTTGTTTCAGATTCAATCACATTTCAACATTATGCAAAAATAACGCAAGTAAATCCAAAGTGCAGTTTTAAATGATTTCCTTTATTAGGGGATAATGCTAATAATACATAATGATAATCATGCAGGAACACAACTATCTGAAAGGCACCAGGACCTCCACTCTGAATGGCTTTGGAGTGGCCTACTAAAGTCTTAAATATGACCAGATACTTTGGCTTGACGTTAAACGGGTCACTCGTGTTCGAAAACCCTCCAGTGTGGTTGAATTAAAATGATTTTGCTCTACAGTAATGTGAAAGAGTCACTGCACCTCTTGCTGTGTTGTTTAACATGACTTTCAATCCTTTTCATCAGTGAAAAAAAAAAAAAAAAATTCTTAAAATAAAAAAAAATGTAACGATGGCATTACCCCACTCCCCATCAAAACACCCTCTGTTTGCGGGTGCCCATTGGCAAGAAATACATCTCAAATACTACAACTGGATGACATAGCAGAAAAATATTCCAGGATTGCAATTATCTACTGATGCAAAGAATTTCTCAGAAGTGCACACGTCATTGTGACGTCACAGGAAGTGTTTTTTGTTACTTTTTTGTTACTTTTTTTCTCTTAAAGTTGCAAGACTTTGCTATTAACAGAACAGTGTGGTTATGGTTCACGAGTAAAGATAGCACCTGATTGCAGTGACAGAACAGAAAGCAATAGTGTTCCGTGACTAAGACTTTGGTTATTACTCCCGTCATCCATACACCCATCCATGTTATATTGAAACATTGCACAAATATTTAAAATTTATAACCCTGTTTCATAAAGAGATGGGACACTGTATAAATCATACCATAAATAAGAACAGAATAAAGGGATTGTAAATTGTCTTCTTCAAAACCCAAGAAGTTGAATCCTTCACTGCTCATATAAACACTGTGGATAAAAACATAAAGGTCACTAGGGAAGACAAAGGATAACTGTAGCTGACCTGCATTGGCTACCCATAAAATACCGCATCCAATTTAAAATACTGCTGCTTACATTTAAAATTACCAACAACACAGCACCGAGCTACCTTAAGGAACTCCTTAAATCGTATGTTCCTGCCAGAGCATTAAGATGGTGCAGCCTAGATCTCGGCTGAAGTCTAGAGGTGACCGGGCCTTTGCCCTGGCTGCACCAGAGTTGTGGAATAACCTTCCGATTGGATGGAATTGGACGCCCGGATCACAATCTTTTAAATCACGGTTAAAAACCTTTTTTTTTAATCTCGCCTTTCCTGCTTGTTAATGCTCGCACCTGACTCTTAGACTTACTCTATTTTTCCTTATACATATTTTTTTTATGGCTTGTGCTTTTATTATGTTTTTATTTTGATATGCATTTTATATTACCCCTGTGTATTAGTGGCATTGACCTGTGGGTATATTTGATACTTTGCTAAGGCCTTATAATATTCGTGTTACTTCTCTGTCTCTTATGTTAAGCACTTTGGTATACCGCTGGTTTTTAAATGTGCTCTATAAATAAAGTTTGTTGTTGTTGTTTTTGTTTGCCATTCCTGGACTGTGCCGCGGGCATTGAAGAGAATGGAAACGTCAACCCTGAAGTTTACTGGAAGCCCACACACACGGACCACACACTAGTTTCAAAATGAGTTTGTGCGAAGCCTTGACTGACTATGACCTACACCAGTTTTCACACCTTGGCTCATGTGATTAGGTAGAGGATCATTAGGACGTCGATTGTGCCTGTTTGGGGGGGGGTGTACACTCGCATAGTTGACCCTTTTGAACTGAAGAAGCTTCTCGGATGAGAGGTGAAACTTCAAGCAACTTAAAGAAGTCCGGACACTTTTCTTTCCAAGCTCCTTAGACAACGTGTCTAAATAAAAATTAGCTCAAGATCGCTGCATTTTTCTTTGCCATTCTTTAAATTTGATCCTGTGTTTGTGGGAGGTATGAGATTTATTAATTTATT